ATGAACAAAAGCAGAGCCAGCACTGATCCTCGTGGAACACCGCAGGTAACAGACCACTGTCTGAGAAACGATCTGCAACACCATCCTTGTCTCCTGCCATTAAGCCAATTTTGTTTCCAATGGGCAAGTTCACGCTGAATCCATTTAATCTAACTTTACTAATTTGTCTACCATGTGGAAACTTATCAAAGGCTTTACTAAAGTCCAAATAAACAACTACTGCTCTGTCCCCGTCAACACTTTTGGTCACGTCCTCAATAAACTGAATCAAGTTTGTGAGACAAGAGTTTCCACGCAAAAGGCCATGCGGGCGATCCCTAATCAGTCCTTGCCTCTCCAAGCGCATGTAAATCCTAACCCTCAGATGTCCCTCCAACAGCTTACCCACCACTGACGTAAGGCTCACCAATCTACAATTCCCTGGCTTTTCCTGAGAAACTTAAAAATAAAACGATAGCACCACATGAGCCAACCTAATGTCTTCCTGTACCTCACGTGTGACTATTGATGACATAAACATCTCAGTAAAGGGCCCAGCAATCTCTTCTCCAGCATCCCATAAAGTTCTAGAAAACACCTTATCAGGTCCTTGGTATTTATCAGCCTTTTTACACCTAGTTTAAAACCTCCCGAGTAGCATGGGCAAAATCCCCTGCAAGGATATTCATCCTCTTCCAAGTCAGGTGGAATCTATCCCTTTTATACAGGTCATTTCTACCACTGAAGAGATCCTAATGGTCCAAAAATGTAAATCATGTCCCCTGCATGACCTCTTCAGCCAAGAATTCATGTGGTCTATCCTCGTATTCCTGCTCTCAATATTCCATTAGATTTGAAATAAAGCCCAACATTAAGTTTGCCTTCCTTATTAACAGGGGAAATTAAAAGTCAGCTTTTTGTGATTCAAGGACGAAGACTCACAAATCTGTTCTGTAGATTTCTGAATTCAACTTTTATTTAAATAATACTTAGTCACTCTATTTGCCTTCAAAGTGCATCATCTCACTTTTTCCATCTATTCCCATTTATTTCATCCACATTGCATTAATATGCCAAGTTTTTGCTCACTCTCTTGTCCTGTCTATATTCGTCTGCAAAATTTCGTAGTCACCATTTGCCTTTTCTGTTATTTTTGTTTCATTCACAAACTTGCCTACAGAACATTCACTTTTCTCAGCTAAGTTACTGATGTATATTGCAAATATTTGTGCTCTCAACACAGATTCATGTGATACTAGATCAGTTACAGATTTACATCCTGTTAAAAGAAAATTGAAGTTATCTCAGATTCTCCAGCATCTGCAGTTCCTACTATCTCTGAATCAAGTTTAAAATCTTTCTATTTTGATTTAGGCAATCCTCTCTCAACGCTAATGTACTACCTCCAAAAAGCCATGGACTATTATCTTATTAAGTTATCTTCTGTGAAGCACCTTATCAAATGCCTTCAGAAAATGTAAACATATTACAATCACTGTTTCCTCCTTATTCTGTATTTTACCTTCTCAAATGATTCTACTATATTTATCAGGCAAGATTTCCCTTTCATAAAATTATTTCCAGTCCTCTTGATCATATCATATACTTTTAAATGCACTGCTGTTACATCCTTTATGATAGACACCACTATTTTTCCAACAAATCATATTAAACAAAATGGCTTCAGTCAACCTTTCTTGTGTCTTTCATTTTTTGAACAAAAGGTGCTACCTTGTCAGTTTCCCAATCTTCTTGGACTTTACTGAAATCTAATGATTATTGATAAGTTACTACCAGTACATCAAATACTTTTGTTGTTATTTATTTTTCTATCCTCGATTAGATCTCATCAGTTTCAGGGTACTTAGTCATGTTCAGTTCTATTAATTTCCCTGCTCTTTCTTTCCCAGTGAAAGTTATTCTATTGCATTTGTCATATTTTTTTTTGCCCTTCCTTGTTTAGCAATTTTGGAATGCTACTTGTCTTCTGCTGTAAAGGCAGAGGCAGAGTAATTATTCAATTCAGATAACCATGAGACTAGAAGCACACAGCAAGCCAGGCAGCATCTGTAGGAAAAGAGAAGTCAACTTTTTGGGCATTATCCTTTTTCAGGACTGGGTGTGGTGTAGAGGGAGATGCAGTTAAAGAGAAGGGTAGTAGCAGAATGGTAGTGATAGGTGGACACTGGTAGTAGGTGTGACATAGCTGGTCGATGGGAGGGATGAATCCGGTTGGTGGCTGGAACTGTGTCATTATTGTTCCTAGCTATTCATTCTCCAACTTCACTCAAGAGAAGCCTATGTTCACTTTGGCTTTTATTTTCCTTTCCATATATTTAAGGAAGTTCTTGCTGTCCATTTTGATATTACCTGCAATTTCACTTTCAATGTGTACTTCTCCCTCCTCATTAATTTTTTGTTTGCCTTTTGACAGTTCTTTAAACTTTCTGAATACTCTGAATACCAAGAACATTTGCCACATTTTATGTTTTATCTTTTCATTCAGTTTGTTGCTGTCTTTAACTTCCCTGTTTAACTGCATTTAGCTTGTCCCCTCCACATAATCCTTCCTTCTCATTGGGATATATCTTTGCTGTGAACCATGAACTATTATTTTCCTACATGTCTTCCATTATTCTTCACATGTCTTTGCTGCTATACTCCTTTCCAAGTCCATGCAGGCAAGCCCTACCTTCATTCCTTTGCTATTACCCTTCAGAAATGTTTTGGAAAAGAACATGGATGGCCCTCAAATCAAAGTTCTAAATTAGTGGATTTGAATAAGACAACATTTGATTTGGCCAGAATGTGCAGGGACCAAATATTTTCAGGGAAATGTGCAAGAGGGAATTTAAATGGGGAGATATGGAGAGCTATAAGGGAAGCATGAATTGATGCAGCTGGGTAAAATAAAGGAAAATGCTCAGTTGTTTTTCAGGTATATTAATGGTTAAAGGATAATGGAGGAAAGAGTAAGGCCCATTAAATTAAATCACATATTTTTCCCTGATTCGTCTCACTAGTCAAGACTGACAGACAGTCTTCATTTAGAACGAGGTCTGCATCCTCTGATTCTACAGATTACTGCTGTGGTCCCTAAAGAAATTAGAATAGCGATAGAGGAGGTTTTGAGTTGTCTCGCAGGCTTAAATGTGGATAAACTTCCAGAGTCAGATGAAATGTATCCTGCAATGTTGGGGCAAAATAGCAGGGACACTTGCAAAAATTTTCAATTCCCCTCTGACCACAGGAAATGTGCTAGAGGACTGAAGGATAGTCAAAGTGGAAGTTTTATTCAAGAAGGGAGCAAGGGATAAATCAAGAAACTGCAAGCCAGTCAGTCTCACCTTGGTAATGGGCAAACTATTTGAAGTAATTCTGAGACAGAATTAATTTAGAAACATTAGAAGCTGTCTATTTGTGGACTCACAGAATAACTGAAGTGAGCAACTTTTGGACAAAACTGTTTTGCAGCCAAGATCCCCATTGACAATCCAAGCCTGTGTTACAGAAACAAAAAAAATAGCCTTCCTTCCCTGGATGGTCTATCAACTCCTAATCTTTTGGTTAAGAGTTAAATACAATGACCAATTATCCTGCCTAAATATGTTGCTTGTCACTGATCTAGATTGAGTTCAGTTTACCACCGATCAGCCCATCTGGCCAGCTTGTCTAAATTCTCCTATAAGTCTGTTTTTCTCACTATTAACCACCTATTACTTTTGTATCATCTGCAAACTAACTGATCATCTGTCTTAAATTAAAGTCTAAATCATTTATATAAACCACAAACTGTAAGGGCTCAATGCTAACCACTGTGGAACCTCACCAGACAGACTTCCAATCAGAAAAATATCCCTCAATCATCACCCTCTGCTTCTTGTTACTGAACCAATTGTGAATTCAATTGGTCAAATTTCAATGGATCACATGGGCTCTTACTTTATCAGTCTTCCATGCTTATGGGTGATGCTTCCCAGTGAATGAGAAATAGGAGGGTCCTGGGATAGATCCTTGTAGCACATCAAGTTCAAGAAATTTGGAGAAATGGAAGTTAAAGAGGGAGAGGTAAATTTCAATGACAGAGAGATCAAGATTTGTTTTTTCTCAGGATGGGTGATGATGTTGGATTGAAAGGTGAGAGGGATAGAACCAGAAGAGAGCGTGAGGACTTTTTTTACAATTTCACTGAGCATGGGTAACTTGGATGGCCAGATGTTTAGTAGGATTAGGGTTGAGGGACTCAGAAGTCGGTCAAATGGACAAGTGAGCACTGACAGGGCATGATGGGAGATAAGAGAGAAATTAGACAATGACACATGTTGAGAGTTCAAACAAGAACTTCTGAGGCAGTTGGTCCTGGTGAGCTCGAGGAAGGGAAGGACATGACAGAGGCAAATGATCAGATGGTCTCAATCCGTGACAAAGTCCATCAGCTCCTCACATTGTTGGACTTGAGGATGGAGGGGATGGGGGAAAGCCCTTCAACCTTGAGCAGGAATGGACCATTCAGCCTTGTGCCTGCTCTGTCATTTACTTAAATCATGGCTGGTCATTTCTTTCCTGCATTGTTCCTATTTAGCATTATGTTGTTCATCTCCAGGAATCTATTGATGTCTAACTTTAAAATTCTCAATCATTGAGCTTGTATTGCCTCCTGGGTAGAAAATTGCCAAGTTTCTGAGCAAAATAATTCCTCCTTAACCAAGTCATTAATGGCCTATCCCTTATTCTGAGACTATGTCCATTGTTCTAAACTGAACAGCCAGGGAAGAAATCCTATCTACACATGCTGTCAGAATCTTGTAAGTTTCAATGAGATTACTGCTCATTTTCCAAATGATTAGCCCTAGTTGATGGAACTACTGGACAAATTGGATCTCTGAGTTAAACCTGACTTGAAAGACCATAAGTTTTATTTTTGCAGTTTAGTAAGGATGGTAGTCAGTAACTATTCATACCAGGCTGCAATTTTCTTTCCACAAGACAAATTTATTTCTTGAAGAAAATAAAAAGCTGTGTGCATGTATATCAATTTTGATGGATCTTAAACAGTAATTTAAACTATTTTCCCAACAGTATCCTTTATAAATACTCAATATCAGTGAAGTAACAATCCGATCCTTTTTAACTTGTTTATGATTTGTGGATGTTGAAGACTAGGTCAGCATTTATTGCCCATCCTGACTGTACAGTAGGAGGTGGTGGTGATGAGCTGTCTTCTTGAATGTCTGCAGTCCTTGGGATATTGGGGTATCCACGGTGGTGTTAGGAAGAGAATTCCAGGATCTTGATTAAGTCATGGTGAAAGAACTGTGATTCCAGTCCAAGTTATGATGGACTATGGGTTGGGATAGAAGTTGCAGTATGTAGCGTTCCCATGCATCTGCTGTTTTTGTCTTTCGAGATGGTAGAAGTTGCAGGTTTGCAAGGTGCTGTCAAAGGAGTCGTGATGAGTTACTGCAATGCATCTTGCAGCTGGTACGTAACTCTAACTGTGTGGCAGTTATGAGGGTGTGTATGTTGAAGGTGATAGTTGGGGTGCCAATTCAGTGGGCTTTTACATCTTTCCCATTTTACACATCAAAGGAAATTTTACTGTCTACTTTTATGTTTCTTCTGAGCTTCTGTGCATTTTCTCTATTCCACCTTTATCAGTTTTTTTTGGTCATCCTTCATTGGGTTCTAAATTTTTTCCAAAACTCTGCTTTACCACTTTATCTTGCAACCTTACGAGCCATTTCTTTTGATTGAATGCAAATTTTACCTTGTTTCTTTAGCCACAGTGGATACATTTTTTTGCTGTGTATTTGTGGCTGAGAAGAATGCATAATTATTGTAGGCCTTGATATGCTTCTTGAAATCATTTTGTGTATTTTGCCAATCCATCATGGCCACTTTCAAACTTCAGTTTCTACTGTTCAGATTTGTCACCCTAATTCCAGAATGAGCTAACACTTTCAAACTTGATAAAAATTCAACAATTTTATGGTCAATATTTCCCAGACTCTTGAACAGCAAAACTATTAATTATCCATTCTAATTACATAATACTGAATATAAAACAGCCTGATTCATAATTGTCCTGAACACATGACAGAAATTCATCTTCACAACATTCATACTAATTAGATCCACCCAATCTGCATGGAAATGGAAGTCACCCATTATTACTGTATTATTCATTTACATGCACATCTTATATTCAAAAGGAGGTCATTGGGATATTAAGTAGATTCAGCTAATTATGTTAAATAGGAAGTCCAACTATACATCTTTATCTGTAATATTTTATCACATAAAACTGGACTGGGATTTTTCAACATCAGTTGCAAAAGACACCAGTGAAAATCCTTGAGACCTCGATGTGATTAACAGAAAAACACAGCTCCTGAAATCACTTATGAACTCGCTGCTGCCTCTGCAGATGTGCCATGAGGTGGGATTTCTGAGTAAATCCTTTCCCACACTCAGTGCAGATGAATGGCCTCTCTCCAGTGTGAACTCGCTGGTGTACAGTCAGTTGAGTTGATCGTCTGAACCCAGTCCCACAGTGAGTACACCTGAATGGTCTCTCATCAGTATGAATATGTTGATGGAGCATCAGTTCCCCAGAACTTTTAAAGCATTTCCCACAGTCTGGGCATGAAAAAGGCCTGTCATCAGAGTGAACACGTTGATGGCGTATCAGGTCCCCAGAACTTTTAAAGCACTTCCTACAATCTGTACATTTAAATGGTCTCTCCCCAGTGTGAACTCGCTGGTGTGTCAGGAGGTGGATTTTCTGAGTGAATCCCTTCCCACACTCAGTGCAGGTGAAAGGTCTCTCTCCAGTGTGAGTGCGCTGGTGTGCATGGAGTTGAGATGACCATCTGAACCTAGACCCACAGAGAGAGCAGCTATATGGTCTCTCGTCAGTGTGAATACGTTGGTGTAACTTCAGCTCCCCAGAGCTTTTATAACACTTCCCACAATCTTGACATTTGAAAGGTCTCTCCTCAGTGTGAACTCGTTGGTGTGCCTTGAGGTGAGATGGCTCAATGAATCCTTTCCCACACTCAGTGCAGGTGAATGGCCACTCCCCGGTGTGAACTCGCTGGTGTGTCAACAGGGTGGAGAACTGAATGAATCCCTGCCCACATTCAAAACAAATAAATGGCCTCTCCCCAGTGTGAAGACGCCGGTGTATAGTGAGTTGTGATGATCTCCTAAATCCAGTCCCACAGTGAGAGCACCTAAATGGTTTTTCATCAGTGTGAATACGTTGATGGAGCATCAGTTCCCCAGAACTTTTAAAGCATTTTCCACAGTCTGAACATTTGAAAGGTCTTTCCTCAGTATGAACACGTTGATGGGACTGCAGACGGCTGGAACTTTTAAAGCACTTTGCACAGTTTGGGCATTTAAAAGGTCTCTCCTCAGTGTGAACCTGCTGGTGTGCCTTGAGGTGAGATGACTGAGTGAATCCACTCCCACATTCAGAACAGGTGAATGGCCTCTCCCCAGTGTGAATGCGCTGGTGAACAGTGAGTTGGGATGACCATTTGAAACCAGCCCCACAATCAGAGCATCTGAACCTTCTCTCCTCAGTGTGAACACGTTGATGAGACATCAGATCACCAGAACTTTTAAAGCACTTCACACAGTCTGGACATTTAAAAGGTCTCTCCTCAGTGTGAACTCGCTGGTGTGTGAGCAGGGTGGAAATCTGAGCGAATCCCTTCCCACACAGCGAGCAGGTAAACAACCTCTCCCCAGTGTGAATGCGTTGGTGAATTTTCAGTGCAGAGTGGTGACTGAACCCTTTCTGACAGTCCCCGCATTTCCATGGTTTCTCTGCAGTGTGACTGCATTTGTGCTTCTTGAGCCCAGTTGATTGGCTGAAGTCTTTTTTGCACACAGAACACGTGTATTTGTTCTCCCCACCTTGAACGGTGCTTTCCCCTTCCATGGCAAAAAGCTGTTGGTACTCTGGTTGTGATAAACTGGGTGACTCCATCAGATCATGATGTGGTGTTTGGTTTCAGTTTCGTGACTGCATATCATCCTCTTTGCAAACCCTATGGAATTTATTTAAAACAGAAGAAAGGAATGAGAGAGAAATCACAGAAACATAAAGGCAGGTTGTGACGTTTTCAGGACTGAATCTGGCAATTTGTGGGGCTGGCATTTGTGAAAAGTGACCATGACACCTGTTGATTGTCAGAGAAGCTCAACTGGGGCTAAAACTAATGTCAAAAAAAAAAAAAAACCCTGCTACCTGGTCTGGTCCTACACAGGACTGTAATGGCCTGCATGAAGCAGACTGAAAGAGAAAAGAGAGATACAGTTGCAAGGACAGAGAGATAGGGAAATGAGTAGGAGATGTTGGGGGTAAAGAATGCCATTTATTGCTCTACAACTTGACAAGAACATAAATAGGATCATCCAAATCCTCAATCTCCACCAGCTCGAAGGGCCACTGTAATAGGTCTATCCAAAAACCATAAGTACCAATTTGCCATCCAACTCTCACCATCCTGACCTGTTTGACATACAGTACTGGAGCAACAGAGAATTCCTTGGCTGGGATATGAGAAGGATGGCAGTCATTTCTTTGAGTCTCCGTTATGAATTCTATTCCAACTACATCTCTCCCAGGAAACTGTCTGATATTGAAAAAGAGATAGTAGGAACTGCCGATGCTGGAGAATCTGAGATAACAAGGTGTAGAGCTGGATGAACACAGCAGGCCAAGTAGCATCAGAGGAGCAAGAAAGCTGACGTTTCGGGTCGAGACCCTTCTTCAGAAATGGGGGAGGGGAAGGGGATTCTGAAATAAATAGGGAGAGAGGGGAAGGCGGATAGAAGATGGATAAAGGAGAAGATAGGTGGAGAGGAGACAGACAGGTCAAAGAGGCGGGGATGGAGCCAGTAAAGGTGAATGTAGGTGGGGAGTTAGGGAGGGGATAGGTCGGTCCAGGGAGGACGGACAGGTCAAGGAGGCGGGATGAGGTTAGTGGGTAGGAGATGGGGGTGGGGCTTGAGGTGGGAGGAATGGTTCGGGAGGCGGGAATGAGCTGGGCTGGTTTTGGGATGCGGTCGGGGGAGGGGAGATTTTGAAACTTGTGAAGTCCACAGTGATACCCTTGATATCCTTGGGCTGCAGGGTTCCCAAGTGAAATATGAGATGCTGTTCCTGCAGCTTTCGGGTGGCATCATTGTGGCAATGCAGAAGGCCCAGGATGGACATGTCGTCCAAGGAGCAGGAGGGGGAGTTGAAATGGTTCGCGACTGGGAGGTGTAGTTGTTTGTTGCAAACCAAGTGTAGGTGTTCCGCAAAGCAGTCCCCAAGCTTCCGCTTGGTTTCCCAGATGTAGAGGAGGCCACAACGGGAACAGCGGATACAGTATACCACATTAGCAGATGTGCAGGTGAACATCTGTTTGATGTGGAAGGTCTTCTTAGGGCCTGGGATGGGGGTGAGGGGGGAGGTGTAGGGCAGGTGTAGCACTTGCTCCGGTTGCAGGGAAAAGTGCCGGGGGTGGTGGGACTGGAGGGGAGTGTGGAGCGGACAAGAGAGTCACGGAGAGAGTGGTCCCTCCGGAAAGCAGATAAGGGTGGGGAGGAAAAAATGTCTTTGGTAGTGGGGTCGGATTGCAGATGGCGGAAGTGTCAGAGGATGATGCGTTGGATTCGGAGGTTGGTGGGGTGGTACGTGAGGACGAGGGGGATTCTGTTTTGGTTGTTATTGCGGGTAGCGGGTGTGAGGGATGAGTTGCGGGAAATGCGAGAGACACGGTCGAGGGCATTTTCAACCACTGTGGAGGAGAAGTTGCGGTCTTTGAAAAACGACCACAGCTGGGATGTCTGGGAGTGGAATGCCTCATCTCGGGAGCAGATGCGGTGAAGGCGAAGGAATTGGGAATAGGGGATGGCCTTTTTGCAGGAAGGAGGGTGACAGGAGGTGTATTCTAGGTAGCTGTGGGAGTCGGTAGGCTTGAAATGGATATCGGTTTCCAGGTGGAAGGTCCAGGTAAACTTAAGGTTGGGGTGGAAGGTGTTAGTGAGGTAGATGAACTGTTCGAGCTCCTCATGGGAGCACGAGGCGGCGCCGATACAGTCATCAATGAAACGGAGGAAGAGGTGGGGGATAGGGCCACTGTAGCTTTGGAAGAGGGATTGTTCCACATCTTTATTTTTACAAGAGGGTTGCAGTGGGAGAGAGATGCACTGAGGTTTTTCCAGAGGGAGGTTTTATTTTTACAAGAGGGTTGCAGTGGTTTTATTTTTACAAGAGGGTTGCAGTGGAACATGGAACAATCCCTCTTCCAAAGCTACACTGGCCCTATCCCCCAGCTCTTCTTCCGTCACATCGATGACTGTATCGGCACCACCTCGTGCTCCCACGAGGAGCTCGAACAGTTCATCCACTTCACTAACAGCTTCCACCCCAACCTTAAGTTCACCTGGACCATCTCTGATACCTCTCTCTCTTTCCTGGACCTCTCTGTCTCCATCTCTGGCATCTACCTGGAAATCGATATCCATTTCAAGCCTACCGACTCCCACAGCTATCAAGAATAAACCTCCCCTCACCCACCTTTCTGCCAAAAGGCCATCCCCTATTCCCAATTCCTTCACCTCCGCCGCATCTGCTCCTGAGATGAGGCATTCCACTCCCGGACATCCCAGATGTCCTCATTTTTCAAGGACCGCAACTTCCCCTCCACAGTGGTCGAAAATGCCCTCGACCGTGTCTCTCTCATTTCCCGCAACTCATCCCTCACATCCCCTACCCTCAATAACAACCAAAACAGAATCCCCCTCGTCCTCACGTACCACCCCACCAACCTCCGAATCCAACGCATCATCCTCCGACACTTCCGCCATCTGCAATCCAACCCCACTACCAAAGACATTTTTTCCTCCCCACCCTTATCTGCTTTCCGGAGGGACCACTCTCTCCATGACTCCCTTGTCCGCTCCACACTCCCCTCCAGTCCCACCACCCCCGGCACTTTTCCCTGCAACCGGAGCAAGTGCTACACCTGCCCTACATCTCCCCCCTCACCCCCATCCCAGGCCCTAAGAAGACCTTCCACATCAAACAGATGTTCACCTGCACATCTGCTAATGTGGTATACTGTATCCGCTGTTCCTGCTGTGGCCTCCTCTACATTGGGGAAACCAAGGGGAGGCTTGTGGACCGCTTTGCAGAACACCTACACTCGGTTCGCAACAAACAACTACACCTCCCAGTCGTGGACCATTTCAACTCCCCCTCCTGCTCCTTGGATAACATGTCCATCCTGGGCCTCCTGCATTGCCACAATGATGCCACCCGAAAGCTGCAGGAACAGCATCTCATATTTCGCTTGGGAACCCTGCAGCCCAAGGGTATCAAGGGTATCACTGTGGACTTCACAAGTTTCAACATCTCCCCTCCCCCGACCGCATCCCAAAACCAGCCCAGCTCATCCCCGCCTCCCGAACCATTTCTCCCACCTCAAGCCCCACCCCCATCTCCTACCCACTAAACTCATCCGGCTTCCTTGACCTGTCTGTCCTCCCTGGACCGACCTATCCCCTCCACATTCACCTTTACTGGCTCCATCCCCGCCTCTTTGACCTGTCTCCCCTCCACCTATCTTCTCCTTTATCCATCTTCTATCCGCCTCCACCTCTCCCTACTTATTTCAGAATCCCCTTCCCCTCCCCCATTTCTGAAGAAGGATCTCGACCCGAAACATCAGCTTTCCTGCTCCTCTGACGCTGCTTGGCCTGCTGCGTTCATCCAGCTCTACACCTTGTTATCTCTGATATTGAAAAAGCCTCAGTGCCATATTTCACTGAGATACCAATCATATCTCCCTATCATCAGTAAAACCTCACACTTCCACCTAACAACATTCACCCTCCCGGTAATTGAGGTCAGTGTCCATCCTCTGCTGCCCGTCTCCTCACTCACTGAACCTTCCCCCTCGTGACATTCGCCCACCGTTACGCTGCGCACGCGCTCTGCTGCATCCCGACACTATGAAGAATGCGTCCATCAAGCTCGCGTACGCTTCCTGTGCCCTCACCAATATGGATGACGTCAATCTGGGCCTTTTCCCGGGATAAAGACGGCGATTCCCTAACGCGAGGCCTGGAGGTTCTTATTCAATGTTTGCGACCAGAAGAGGTGTTCATGAAGTCTCTCCCCTCAGCTCTCCCATACAAGCTGCCACACACCGACACCCTTGCTCCCCTTTGTGCCGGAGATCGCAGCTGCTGGAAAGAAAAGCTCGATGTCCCTCACAGCCCTGATCAATGTGATATTGCGCATGCTCCACATACTGTCCTCACTGCGCCTGCGTGTGAGTCTGTTGTCCTGAACGGATCATCTTCACATCTGCAAAGAATGGTCAGTTAGAACAGCGCCATTAACATCGAAATGCGGATATCAAACTAATTTTCTTGCTCGACTTATATAAATGATTTGGCAAAAAAAATCGTCGTTTACTTCCCCACTGTTTCTTAAGTTGTCCCATCTATTTCTTCTTCGAGATTTGATCTTCTATGCACTGAGAATGATTGGAGTTTGTAGAACTTATCACGGCTTCCCTTTCTGACCGCTCCCTTCACACCCTTCTGTCCACCAAGCCTGCCCCTATTCACTCTGGTTGTCGGAGCAGCTTCCTCGGCTCGATGCTCCAGCCCCGTCCCTTCCGTCCTATACAAAATAAAAACCAAAAAAACTGCGGATGCTGTAAATCCGGAACAAAAACAAATTTGCTGGAAAAGCTCAGCAGGTCTGGCAGCATCTGTGAAGGAGAAAATAGAATTTAACGTTTCGGGTCTGGTGACCCTTCCTCAGAACCTTCCGTCCTATTGGTCCATAGCCGTCGCCAGTTGCTGGAACGCCGAGTTTTGTGCATGCGCCGTAGCGATGCCGCACAGGATAGGTCCAGGCGGGTGAGCGTGCGGGGAGGGAGAGAGCCCGAGGGTGGGTTTGGAGTCTTCAGAAATATCCCGGAGAGGTCGCAAGCCCTGAATTCCGAAGCTCATATGGAAAGAGTGTGGGCTGTGTCTGCGAACAAGAGGAGGAGCAAATGTTGATCCAAACTGGGATTGTCTGCTCTGAATATCTATTCTGCACTGACAGGAGTGAGCTTGATTGCAAACTCTGTTTACAGGGTGTGATGACTGAAGGGTTTACAGAAATAAAATTCTCACCAAACCAGATGATAAAGTCACGCAGAGCCTGGATATCATCCAGCCGGAAATGTGCAAGGAGAAATCTTTCACTGTTCTGAATGTGGGAAAGAATTTTAAACATCAGGGTAACGCAGGTGGTTCCAGCACAACAACTACAGAAAGACCTCAAGGCAATTGCACAACCTGAAGAAACATCACACTATTCACAAACGGGAGAATTCGTACATTTTTCAGAGATAGTAGGAACTGCAGATGCTGGAGAATCTGAGAATAACAAGGTGTAGAGCTGGATGAACACAGCAGGCCAAGCAGCATCAGAGGAGCAGGAAGGTTGACGTTTTGGGCCTAGACCCTTCTTCAGAAATGGGGAGGGGAAGGGGGTTCTGAAATAAATAGGGAGAGATGGGGAGGCAGATAGAAGATGGATAGAGGAGAAGATAGGTGGAGAGGAGACAGACTGGTCAAAGAGGCGGGGATGGAGCCAATAAAGGTGATTGTAGGTGGGGAGGTAGGGAGGAGATAGGTCAGTCCAGGGAGGACGGACAGGTCAAGGGGGCGGGATGAGGTTAGTAGGTAGGAGATGGGGGTGGGCTTGAGGTGGGAGGAGGGGATAGGTGGGAGTAAGGACAGGTTAGGGAGGCAGGGACGAGCGGGGCAGGTTTTGGGATGCGGTAGTGGGAGGGGAGATTTTGCAGAACACCTACGCTCGGTTCGCACGAAACAACTGCACCTCCCAGTCGCGAACCATTTCAACTCCCCCTCCCATTCCGCAGATGACATGTCCATCCTGGGCCTCCTGCAGTGCCACAACGATGCTACCCGAAGGTTGCAGGAACAGCAACTCATAGTCCGCTTGGGAACCCTGTAAGCCCAATGGTATCAATGTGGACTTCACAAGCTTCAAAATCTCCCCTCCCCCTACCGCATCCCAAAACCAGCCCAGCTCGTCCCCGCCTCCCTAACCTGTCCTTCCTACCATGTATCCCTTCCTCCCACCTCAAGCCCCACCCCCATCTCCTACCTACTAACCTCATCCCGCCCCCTTGACCTGTCTGTCCTCCCTGGACTGACCTATCTCCTCCCTACCTCCCCACCGACACTCACCTTTACTGGCTCCATCCCCGCCTCTTTGACCGGTCTGTCTCCTCTCCACCTATCTTCTCCTCTATCCATCTTCGATCCACCTCCCCGTCTCTCCCTATTTATTTCAGAACCCCCTTCCCCTCCCCCATTTCTGAAGAAGGGTCCAGGCCCGAAACCTCAGCCTTCCTGCTCCTCTGATGCTGCTTGGCCTGCTGAATTCATACATGTGTCGTCTGTGGAGAATTAATCATCAAACTGGGAGAGATTGATGGATACCTGTGCCATGGAGAAACCCGTGGAAATGTATGAATTGTGGGAAAGAATTCAAATGTCCATCCGAATTGAAAATTCGATGACTTGGGAGAGGCCGTTCACTTGTTCTGAGTGTGGAAAGGGATTCACTCAGCCATCACACCTGCTGCCACATCAGCATGTTCACACAGAAAATAGACCCTTTAAATGTCCAACTGAAGGGAGTCTTATAAAACTTCCAGTGAATTCACACCGGGGAGAGGCTATTCTCCTATCCTGAGTGTGGGAAGACATTTACCACTTCATCCAACCTGCTGACACACCGGTGACTTCACTCTGTGAACAGACCATTCACCTGCCCTGAGTGTGAAAAGGGATTCACTAATTGATCTATGCTGTTGATGCACCAGCGAGTTCACGCTAGAGACAGGCCATTTACCTGCTTTGAATGTGGGAAAGGATTTACTCAGTCAGCCATCCGCTAAGACACCAGCGAGTTCACATTGAAGAGAGGCCATTTGCATGCTCTGAGACTGGGAATTGATTCTCTTTGTAATCCCACGAGCTGAGTCACCAGCAAGTTCACAAATGACTGGAGTGACTGGAATTTTCTGTACGTCATAGAACATAGAACATAAAACATTACAGCGCAGTACAGGCCCTTTGGCCTCGATGTTGTGCCGACCTGTGAAACCAATCTGAAGCCCATCTAACCTAAACTATTCCATTATCATCCATATGTTTATCCAATGACCATTTAAATGCCCTTAAAGTGGGCGAGTCTACTATTTTTGCAGGCAGGGCATTCCACGCCCTTACTACTCTCTGAGTAAAGAACCTACCTCTGACATCTGTCCTATATCTATCACCCCTCAATTTAAAGCTATGTCCCCTCATGCTAGCCATCACCATCCGAGGAAAAAGTCTCCCACTGTCCACCCTATCTAATCCTCTGATCATCTTGTATGTCTCTATCAAGTCACTTCTTAACCTTCTTCTCTCTAAAGAAAACAGCCTCAAGACCCTCAGCCTTTCCTCATAAGACCTTCCCTCCATACCAGGCAACATCCTGGTAAATCTCCTCTGCACCCTTTCCAATGCTTCCACATCCTTCCTATAATGCGGTGACCAGAACTGTACGCAATACTCCAAGTGCGGCAGCACCACAGTTTTGTACAGCTGCAACATGACCTCATGCCTCCGAAACTCAATCCCTCTACCAATAAAACCTAACATACTGTACGCCTTCTTAACAACGCTATCAACCTGGGTGGCAACTTTCAGTGATCTATGCACATGGACACCGAGATCTTTCTGCTCATCCACTCTACCAAGAATCTTACCATTAGCCCAGTACTCTGTATTCCTGTTACTCCTTCCAAAGTGAATCACCTCACACTTTTCCGCATTAAACTCCATT